TCCCAGACCCTCGTGGCATCTCCCACCCCTCGTGGCAAACGCTCCCGTGGCTGGGGCCAGCAGGGAGCCAGGACAGGGCTGGTTTAGGGGTGGCACCCTGGTGGCACCCGGCAGGGCAGGAGGGCACAGAGGGTGCAGCAAGGGGTGGCCAAGGTGAGCGGGCGGCTCTGGGGGCTCCCGAGCTGATGGGGTGACCCCGTGTCCCTCCTTGGGGACAGCGGGCAGTGCCAGGCCCAGCAGCGCCAGCAGGGCACCGACCTGCCGGGCACCGGGGCTGAGCCAGGCTCAGCCTTAAGGCGATGGTGAAGCTTCCTCATGTGGGCTGGGGCCTCGCCGGGGCCGTGGTCCTCTCCAGCATCTCATGGTCCAGTCTCAGGGGTGTCCAGGCTCTCCTGGAAGCAGTGGTGGCCGAGGCAGAGCTCCTCTTGTCCCCTGTGCCACCGGCAGGACTGGCCCTGGACCCCGGCTGTGCTGGGCAAGGGGCGAGGGGGGTGCGAGGACACGGCCAGGACAGAGCTCGGGGTGGTGGCACCTATTTGGGGACCTGCAGGGCTGTGACCACCGGCTTCATCTTGAAGTACTGTTTAAACCTTAGCTTTGCATATCTGCCGAGAGAGAAGGGACAGCTCTGAGCCACTCGTGTCCCCAGGGACCACCGGGATCCTCCCCAGGGACCATCGGGATCCTCCCCGGGATCCTCCCCAGGGATCATCGGGATCCTCCCCAGGATCCTCCCCAGGGACCATTGGGATCCTCCCCGGGATCCTCCCCAGGGATCACTGGGATCCTCCCCGGGATCCTCCCCAGGGATCACTGGGATCCTCCTGCTCCACTCATTTCCCCCTGTGAGCAGCCGAGGTGGACTCACCTTAAGAAATTAAAGTCTATGGTCGAGTATTTATCCTGGATCAGGCCCCAGCAGGCCCAGAGGAAATGGGACGCCTGCAAGGGGCAGAACAGGGATCAGGGAACGGCCAGAAACACTCGAGCCCCTCCTGGCTGGGGCCTGGAATTCCCAGGGCTGTGACAAGGACGGGACACGGAGTGGAGCTGGCCCACATTGGGATTTTTGTGCCCTCCAGAGTTTGGGAGTGACCCACATTGGGATTTTTGTGCCCTCCAGAGGTTGGGACTGGCCCACATTGGTATTTCTGTGCCCTCCAGAGGTTGGGACTGGCCCACATTGGGATTTCTGTGCCCTCCAGAGGCTGCTCCTGGCTGGAGCGAGGATGGCAGCAGGGAAGATGCTGAACGTGGGCTCCCACCCCCTGCACTGCCCTCCCAGCAGCTCCAGCCAGGAAAAACAGAGGGTATTCCACCTGAAATTTCCAGAAATCCGGCTGGGGCCGGCCCTGGCAGCTGGCAAAGAGGATTTCCTCACGCCAGGCCGCGGCTGAAGGGCTGCCCAAGGCCGCGGCTGTCGGACACGCGCTGTCCCCAGCGCTGCCCTGTGACCTTGCCCGGGGGCTCGGCCCCCCTGAGGTGCTGCCAGGCCCCTGGGACAGCCTGTCCCCGATGTCCCCAAGCCCCCAGGCTGGCACCAGCAGCCCCATCCTCGCCAGCTCGCAGCTGGAAGCCCGAGAGCAGAGACAAACTCATCCCCTGGGTCGTGTTTTCAGCCCCGGAGCCAGGCCGGCTCCTTCTGCCTTCCCACTCACCAAGGAGAACTTGTTCACTTGCACATAGAGAGTTTCCAGCTCCTCCTCAGACACCTGGGTGTCACCTGGGTGTCCCTGGGTGTCACCTGGGTGCCCCTGGGTGTCACCTGGGTGCCCCTGGGTGAGCTCCTTGTAGGCCTGCAGGTAGGAGCGCAGCCACTGCAGCTGTGTCTCCTTGCTGGGGTAGAGGCCATAATCCACCTCCTTCACACCTGGGGGGTCAGGGGGACACGGGGGGGACAGGGAGGGGACACGGAGGGGTTGGAATCTCCACAGCAGAATGAGGA